GAGCCCGGACAAAGCGGGCTTGTGGGGCCGGCCCCTCCCCCGCAGCTGCCTGGACCTCGGCCCGCAGCCCGGACCGCTCTCGGCGCGGCTCCCACTGCTCAGGGCTGCCCCGCCTGGGTGGTGGCCTGGTAGGATTTCCTGCGGGAGGAAGCACTTTGGGGGTCACCGAAGGGCCACAGGGAAGGCCTTGGGGTTGACCTGACCCCCGCCCCCGGGAGGTGTCGGGGGCTGCACCCTGGAACTGGGGCCTGAAAGGGGCTGACATCCAGGAAGCAGATGGGGAACTGAGGCCCCACACCCTTCCTCCTCCTCCTCCTCTTCTTCCCCCTCTCCCCCCTGGCCTGGGCTGGCGAAAAGTTATTTTGGACCACTCCTGACCGGGTGGGGGCTGGGTGGGTGGCCCTGCAGTCCCCAGGGAGCCCGGGGCTGGATGGTTGTCTGTTTTGTCAGATGGGCGGCAGGAGGCCCCAGAGGCCGCGTCCAGGCCCTGAGCTGCTCTAGCACTGCAGACCTGCAGAGAGTGGACCGCAGACATGGCCCAGCCGCTGCCTTTAGTCCTCAACGCTCCCGAGAGGGAAGGGGAAGGGGAGCAAGAGTAAGTGCCCTGGGGCTGGGGGGCTGGGAGATGCCGGAGGCCGCACGCCCCCCCCCCAGCCTTCTAGAAAGGCCTGCGCTGCCCCAGTGAGCGCAGGAGCCTGGGTTTCCACGTCTGCTCCTCCTGCAGCCAGGAGCCCAGCCCTAATGAGGAGAGCGAAGTGCACGACTCCTTCCACCAGCTCATCCAAGAGCAGAGCCTGCGGGCAGCCGAGGAGGGGCTGGAGCTGCGGCCGCTCACCAGGACCCCGCGGGATCCAGGTGGGATGCTGGCGGAGTGTGGGCAGCCCCGAGGTTACCGGCCCTGCAGTGTGTAGGCCTGGGGCAGTGTGGGGTGGGTGAGCGAGATGTCCGGTAATCGAGCCTTCCTTATTTAGGCCATGCCCACCAGACCCTCCCGGGGCCCAATGGGGGCCCCGTCTACAGCGCGGCCACGCTCCGAGTCCTGGCCAGCATGCCCAGCCGCACCATTGGTAAGTGGGAGCTCTGCCCTTGTGCTCTCCTTGACCCGGCACTGGGGTTTCAGCAGGACGCCTGCGTGTGGTAGAGCCAGGCCTGTCCAGCTCTTGGCCACTCAGTCTGCCCAGAGGCCCGGCACCACCCCAGGCCAGCCTCCCTGGTGGTTAAAAATGACCTTGCGAGGCCTCGCAGAGGCCAGAATAAGCACTTAGAGCATGGTGGACCTAAGGCGTCCGGTAAAGGGCTTTCTTGGGTTTTGGTAAGGGCTGAGGTCTGGGAAAGTGTGGAGCAGAGAAGCATCATGAGAGGGAGGCCAGTGGGGCTTGGCCCCGGCCCCATGGCCACCTGCCTTCCTAGGCCGCAGCAGAGGAGCCATCATCTCCCAGTACTACAACCGCACGGTGAGACTGCGGCACCGGAGCAGCCGGCCGGTGCTGGGGAACGTGACGCGCTCTGCCCGCCCCAGCCTCCGCCTCTATGACCTAGAGCTGGACCCTGGGTCCCTGGAGGAGGACGGTGAGCACACAGGGAGGCGCTGGGGGCGTACCCTCCACAGGGATACTTAGGGACCAGGAGGTGGCAGAAGGTACTTGGTAGTCTGGTGCACCCACACCCCATCCTCCAGTACTGGGCAGCGGACCTCGGGGAGGCCCAAGCGTGGACTGGCGGTTGGTAGGCTCCTTGCAGCTCTTAAGAAACCCATGAAATTCATGGAGCCAAAGAAATGGGTAAGCAGGCCAGGAAAGCTGATAAGGACAGTGGGGAAGGGGCCCTGCAAGGATGTATACTAGGCTAGGGGCTGGTGGTTTGTCCCTGCAGTTGGGAGTCTGAGATAGAGAGGATCAAGGTTTGAGGTCAGCCGCAAAAAAGTAACGGTCTGGTATTGTGGCTTAGTGGTATAGTGCTCACCTAGCATGCATGAAGCCCTGGGTTCGATTTCTCAGTACCACATACACAGAAAAAGCCAGAAGTAGCTTTGTGGCTTTGGTGGTAGAGTGCTAGCCTTGAGCAAAAGAAGCTCAGGGATAGTGCACAGGCCCAGAGTTCAAGCCTCAGGACTGGGGAAAAAAAAACAAGACCTTCCTCCCCCTTCTCAACCAATAACTGGGTATAGTAGTATGCTCTTGTCATGGCAGCTACAGTAGGAAGCCTCAAGTAGGTAGATTATAGTCTAAGCACATGCCTGTACCAAGAACTGTGATCAGCACTCTACCACTAGGTAAACAGCACTGTCAGAGAGAGCGAGTGAGAAGGAGGGGACACTGGAGAGAGAAGAACGTGGGAGGGAGCCTGGGAGCCTGCTAGCCTGGAGGCTCTGGGAGGCCTCATGGAGAAAGTGCCTGGAGCAGAGGGGACATGTCCCCAGTCCACTCCTGGCTTGCCAGTGTGGGGGCCTCCCGTTGCTGGGCGCAGGGCGGGGCGGGGCGGGGCAGCGCCGGGACCAGGAGAATGTCTCAAGCGAATGCTCTCCATCTACTGGTCAGTCTGAGAAAGTTGGGATTAGAGTAAATGTTGGGGTCCTGGAGCTCTTTGTGATGAGTTCTGGGGTACCCTGCTGGTGAGAGGCAGCCCCTGGTTCAGATGATGGACCGGGCCGGGCCCTGCCTTCCTCTGCATCCTTGCGAGCTTGGTACAGCTAGGCCATGGTGGGGAGCTGGAGTTTTGGTGTTCCAGGAAGAGGCTGGGGACCTGATGGAGGGGGGAGGGTGGCTGGGGGTCGGGTGAGGGAGGACGGCGTGGACTGACACTAGTCCAGACCTGGCAGCCACCGTACGGGCAGAGGCCGCACACAGGCCTGGCCAGGCCTGCTGCAGGGTAGACGGTGGCCGTAGCTAGCCTGGACCCAACCAGCCTCCTTCCTGTTGGCAGAGAAGCGGAGCCTCCTGGTGAAGGAGCTCCAGGGCCTCTCGGTGGCCCAGCGGGACCACACGCTCCGGGGGATGCCCCTGAGCCTGGCTGAGAAGCGCTGGCTGCGGTAGGTGTCCACCGCTCTGTGCCCACCCAGCCCACTTCCACGGGCGGCCCGAGCCTGCTGGTGGGTGATGGAGCCGTGTCCCGACGGTCCAGGCACTGATCTGTCTCTGTCCCCAGAGAGGAGAGCTGCGCCTCTCGGGGGAAGCCGAGGGGCCGGCAGGGCCGTGGGGTGTCGTGCTGCAGCCGGCTCAGATACGCCTGTATCCTGGTAGGAGCCTGGGGGCGGGGGCGGGCAGCCCTCCTCCCTGCTGCCCTTCTGTGTGAGGGGCCCTCGGCCGGGCCCTGTGCTCCAGCCCTGGCGGACTGCGCCTGTCACTCTCACTGCCCACAGGGGCTGCACAGCCTGGGGCTGCTGCTGCTCTCCGGCCTGCACTACAGGCGCCCGTGGCACTACGCCTTGAAACAGATTGGCGGCCAGTTCGGCTCCAGCGTGCTCTCCTACTTCCTCTTCCTCAAGAAGCTCCTGGCCTTCAATGCCCTGCTGCTGCTACCGCTGCTGGCCTTCACCGTGGGCGTGCAGGCCGCCTTCCCACCGGCCCCGCCGGACCCATCCCGCCCCGCCGCTTCCTTCACCGGGCTGGAGCTCCTCACTGGCGGGGTGCGGGGGCCCCAGCCCCACCCTCCTCCTTCTCCTTCCCCCAGCAACCCCAGGTGGCCCTGGGTAGTTCTCCCAAATGTCTGCTGACCCTTTGCTTCTAACGGTCCCATGCTTGGGAGCCCTGGGGGGGGGCCTGGGTGGGGAAGGGGTGCCCTGACTGGCCTGGCCTCCTCGTAGGGCTGCTTCACCCACACTGTCATGTACTACGGGTACTACAGTAACACCACGCTGAACCAGCCGTGTGCCCCACCCCAGGATGGCAGCCAGTGCAGCGCCGGGGCAGGCAGCCTGCCCTACAGCATGCCCTTGGCCTACCTCTTCACTATCGGAGCAGCCTTCTTTATCACCTGCATCACGCTGGTGTACAGGTAGCTGACCTCTGACACGTGAGCACCATTCTGCCATCCATTACCTGTCCGTCAGTCTGTCAGTCCATACACACACCCATCCACCCATCGACCCATCCATCGACCCATCCATCTATCCATCCATCCATCCATCCATCCATCCATCCATCCACCCATCCACCCACCCATCCAGCCACACATCCATGCATCTGTTCACACACCCATCCATCCACACACCCATCCATCCATTACCCTGTCCATCCGTCCATCCACACATCCATCCATCCATCCATCCATCCATCTACACACCCATCCATCCATCCATCCACCCACTCATCCATCCACACATCCACGCTCACATCCATCCATCCATTCACACACCCATCCATCCGTTCACACACCCATCCATCCATTACCCTGTCTATCCATCCATCCACACACCCATCCATCCATCCATCTATCCGTCCATCCACACACCCATCCATCCATTACCCTGTCCATCCATCCACACACCCATCTATCCATTATCTTGTCCATTCATCCATCCACACATCCATCCATCCATCCGTCCATTACCCTGTCCATCCATCCATCTACACACCCATCTATTCATTCATCCACATATCCATCCATTCATCTACACACCCATCCATCCACCTATCTACATCCATCCATCTATCCATCCATTCATCTATCCACATACCTATCTACTCATCCATCCGTCATTCATCCACACACCCATCCATTCCTCCATCCATCCATCCATCAGTGCCTCTCTCATCCATTTACCCATTTATCTACTCTATCCATCCACTGTTCTACCTACTGATTCATCTGTCTGTCCATTCAACCACCTATCCATCTGTCCATAAATCCATCAATTCACCTACTTGTTCATACCTGTCATATACTTCCACCCACCACCTATTTATGTACCCATCCACCTGTTCATCCATCCATTTTTTTCATTGACAGGTCTATCCATTCATCTACCACTGTCTACCTGTACATCCATTTGTCCATTTTTTCACACGTCTATTTCCACCTCTCTACCCCTCATCTGTATTCATCCCCCCCCCCCCCCGACACACACACACTCATATACTCTTTTTTTTTTTTTTTTTGTCTGTTGTGAGCTCTGAGCCTGGTCCCCAGCTCTTCAGCTCAAGGCTAGCGCTCTACCACTTGAGCCATAGCACCACTTTTGGCTTTTTTTGCTTATGTGGTGCTGAGGAATCGAACCCAGGGCCTCAGGCATGCAAGGCAAGCGCTCTACCACTGAGCCACCTTCCCAGCCCCACCACCAACACTGTCTTTAGCACTGCCCCCCCTTTTTTTTTGCCTGTCCTAGGGCTTGAACTCAGGGCTGGGTGCTGTTCATGAGCTTTGCTTAAGGCTAGTGCACTACCATTTGAAATAGCTCCACATCCAGCTTTCTACTGGTTAATTGGAAATGAGGCTTCCAGGCTGGCTTTGAAGCATGACCCTCAGATCTGGCCTCTGATGCCTGTATGGGTGTGAGCCACCGATACCCGGCTAGCATCACTTTTGATTGGCAAATGATTCTACCAAGAGAGGGGGGGGGCGTGCGAGCGTGCCCGCGCACAGGAGCAGTTATTTGCAATCATTTGTAGTCAGCTTTACAAAGCTGTCACTGGATTGTGTGGGTGGTGGCTGTGAGGGTGAGGTTTCTGCCCCGACCTGGCCAGCACCACCCCTGCCTGGGGCTCCGGCTGCGGCCGCTGTGCCATCCAGACTTCCTGTGTTATCTTTCGGCATCTCCGTGGGCTCATGGGGGGGGGGGGCTGGGCGGGCTTGATCGGCTGGTGGCCTTGTATGTGGACTGTGACCTCCTGTCCCACTCTTGACTTTGGCTGCACACGTGGACCCTGTGCCTTCTTGGGGTTCTTCATAAGCTGGGGCAGATGCCCCTGGCCCAGGGGCTACAGAGGTTTCTGGGTGCTCTTGGCTTTCACTTCGTGCCAGCTATCAGAGGCTGGGCGCACTTCCCTCACCAAGTCCTCGGTGCAGCACTAGTGCCCATGGCTTTCATGGTCCATGCCAGGGCCTGGCACTGTCTGCATTCCACCGGCACACGCAGCTCATGGTGTCACCCAGCTCATCGTTTCCATCCGGAGCCAGGGCTTGCCAGCCACTTCCGCTTCCTCCTCAAGCCGTTCAGGCCCGTCTCTGCTTCCACCATCCACAAAAAGGCCGCTCTGGGCCTGCTGTTTCCTTCCTTCCAGGTACCGGGCCTCATGGCTCTCCTGCCTGCCCTGTCTTTGAACCGCGATGCTCTCATCTTGGCCTGAGTGGTCAGGATTACAGGCTTGAGCCGCTGGGGCCTAGCCTTGTGACTCTAACACCCACAGCAGGGCCTTGGAGAGAAGTGGTGGTCCTCAGTACACCCCGTGCCCCTGCCCTGCTGCCCTGGCCACGCTGGTTCTCATGAGGGCTGTGGGCCGAGCGGGGGTGGGGGTGGGCGCGCTCCTGTGCCTCTCAGTGACCATTACAAGTTTTAACATAGTAACAGAGAAGCACATGATACAAGTCAGCCAGGATTCTGTGCAGACTGCATCCACACAAGCTGTGAGGACATCACAAAAGGGAATTGTGTTCCAGTAGGACAACTCCCCTAAAAATGATCAGTCTGTCTTTGAAAAAAAAAAAAAACACATCTGAATAGCCAAGAAAAATTGCAATTTATTTAAGATTTCAACAGAGCGTTGTAGTTTTGAAAGCAACTTTCGGTGCGTGTTCAACAATCACATTCTATGAGAAGAAACATTAAGAGTCACAAACTTGTTTATCTCAGAGCCACAGACAAATTCAAAATAAAAGTGGGGTGGGGGGGAGGAGGAAAAACAAACCAAACCCCAAACAAGCAGATCCTTTACGTCTAGCCCCAAATTTCAAACCACGAGTTATCTACAACTCAGTGCTGAATGGCGGCGTGGTGGCTGTGTGGTGCACACATGCGTACACGCCCATCTGGTGCACACACACACAAACACACACACAGGTCTGCGTACATCACAAAAACAGAATGCACGTATTGGCAATGAGATGGGATCACTGAGGGCCTGTTCAGCTAGATACACTATAGACTTGAGAAAAAAAGTCGAACCCAGTTTGTGCATAGTTCATGATCCTCTATAAAACCAGCTTTTGTTGATCTGCAATCTTGCAGGACTTCTTTTTTTTTTGCTTTTTTTTGTTTTTGTTTTGATAAAACCATTAAAAAGCTAATTAAAAAAGAGTGTAATGCACAAGAACCCTGGCCAGGGTGGGCAGGGAGCACAATGTTCGTATATTTTTAAACATACTCGAGGGCATGTCCTTCCATTGTCTTTCTTCCTTGTAAAACAATCAGAACATCGATCATTTTAAAACATAAAGCAATTTTTAATATATAAAGCACTCTTCAAACATCTATTTCTTTTGAGTCCATTATTTGGTAAATATGTAACTGCTACACATTAGAGATTAGGTATTTTTCTTCTTTGTGGTTTTTTTCCTCTTTTTTTCTTTTTCTCTTTTTTTTCCTTTTTTCCTTTTTTAAAATAACATCTTCAGTGCTAGGAGTTGGGTTTAAAAATACATGAAATGGCGTGGAGCTGCCTCGGGGCCCTGGCTTTCCTGAGAGCGCCCGGCTCGTGCCTTGTCACCCGAGGGCGTCGGCAGAGTCCAGATGACGGCCGGCCGGGACAGCACTGCCCGGTCCCAGAGCCCGGAAGTAACGTATCTGCATTCTGAAAATAGGGTTCTTTACGACGGAAGTCTTTTTTTTTTAATTCCTTTTTATTTTATTTTTTAAATGTTAAAGTCTGAAGGAGAAAAAAGGTCTGTAAACAGGTGGAGCCAACCCCGGCTCCGCCGAGAGCAGTCATCACCGCGTCCAAGTGCTCGCCCGCACCCCGTGCGGCCGGAGCCCGCGCGCTGCGAGGATCTATGGCCACACTTCAGCAACAGTTCTTCTCTAACTTTATATTCCACATGGAAATGGTGCAATACTCTGGTAATAATTTTCTTGCATTAGTCCACGATAAAAAGCTGCTAAAGGTAGATATACATATTATTTTTCCAGAGATATACACTGTAACTTTAGACGCATAACAGAGTCCTTGAGTAAACATTTACACATGAATTGTCGCCGCCCTGTCCCGTGAGTTCTCTACATGTTTAGGATTAGCTAAAGGAAGGGCAAGGACACCTCAGTGCAAAGTTAGATGCTAATAACAATAACAACAACAACAACAGACATTTGACCAATGCGCCAAAAAAAGCATATACTGAGTAGGAGGAGAACCCAGATGAATCCCTCACACACTGTCAACACACACACAGGAACCGCATACCGTGCAGAAGCACGCACAGACATGCAGTTTCACACACACACACATGCGCACGCACGCACACATAGGCTATGAGCTTAGAAACTTTTCCTAGAGCCTGTTTCTGTGTACTGTTGTCAACCTGGAAGTGTAGAATTAGACTTAGAAAGTGTTCACATTTCATTATTGGCCTGCTGGATTCAAGTATTTGCATGTTTGATATGTCTTTTTTTTTAACTTTTAAAAAATATTTTTTGGGATAAAAAATGACATGAAAAAGTAATGGAACAAGGGTCATGGAACAAGGGCAATGTGCATAGGCGGGTCCAGGGCCCCGTGCCGTGCCGCAGCTCCGCCCCAGCCACAGCTGCCGCCCCGCCCCGCCCCGCCCCGCCCCGCCCCTCCACCTCTGGTAATGTGCATAATCATCACAGGCTCACTTTAAATAGGCTTCTCGTCCCTTTCCCTCCCTCCCTCCCTCCCTCCCTCCCTCCCTCCAGCCCGCCCCCATGATAAAATAACCCTTTCCAGCCCACAATCTGAAAAGTGCCCTTCATGATAGAACTATTCTAAGCAGCTTTTATACTTAAAACTCAAAACGACAACACACTGTACGAACGTGAGACGACACAAAATCAAAAGCTATGAGGAGCGTCCTGCGGGGCGGCGGCCTGCTGTTCCCACAGTTCTCAGGCCGCGGCCATGGCGTCTTCACAACTGGACAGAGGTACTCGAAAGAGGCGCGTGGCCACCCTGGGCCATGGTGCCGGGCTGGCAGGGCTGCGCTCCTCCTCACTGGTGGGCCGCTAGGCCCAGCTCTCCTCCTGGCGCCCTAGATGGACTCCCCGCTGAGCAGGTCCCCGGGCAGCAGCGTGTTCAGCGGGGTGGGGCTGCCGATCACCCTGCCGTCGTCAGTGCTAGGCGGCCCCCACAGGCTGCTAGAATACTGGGGCACCCCACCCCAGAGCAGGTCACTGCTCCCTTTGCCACCCAGGCACGGGGTGTTCCAGTGGGCAGTGTCGCCGCGCACCAGGCTGTGGGTACTGCCCGAGGCGCCCAGCCTTGACTGGCCACTCCCGCCGCTCGGCTGCCAGCTGGAGGTGGGCGGCAGGGCCTGGCCCTGGGCCAGGAACCGATTCACTTCCTCTTCACTGGCGAACTCGGCCAAGATAGTGGTGTTCCCCAGCACACACCTGCAACACAGAGGTCACGGGAGGTCAGGTGAGCGAGCCCGAGTCCGAGGCACTGCCACCATGAGAGGGCAGCCAAGGGCGATAAGCTGCGGCTCCCCACACACGCCTGGGGCTGGGCTGGGGCTGGGCGGGGGCAGGCGCCCACTCTGACAGGCTCGGTGTGGGGGTGTGGGGTGCATGCTTGCTTCAGTGCACCACTAAGACGGGGGATGGTTCAGCGGCAGAGTAGCCTGTCTCCTGGGCTAAACACGGGAGCGGGGTGGGTTTGTGGGGGAGTTCATGTCCTGGTCTCGTGCCGGCTCAGCTCAAGGGACCTTCCTGGCAGGCCCACTTCACCAGTGTGGGCCCCTTTGCCTAACCTTGCCGGCCACATGGGGCGTGTCTCTCCGTGCTATTGGGGTGGGTGGGGGGGGGCTCTTGTTTTGGTCACAGATGGCCCCAGGTGCGCTGGGGAGCTTCTCCTAAGGAGGGAGCCGCCACGGAAACAGCACACTCATGGAGGATGAGCTCCACGCGCTCGTTCGGATGCTCAGTCCTAGCCCCGGGTCTGGGAAGCGGCTGCGCTGGAGACAAGAGTCCCAGAGATGAGACATTAAGGGAACTCCACACGCCTGCCTGGTGCTTACAAGCCGAGTCTCCAGACTGCGAGGTGACGCACCTCTAGCAGCTGGGGTGCCTGGCCGGAGGCCTCAAGCCCCCCACCCTCAGGGCGGCTGAGAACTCACATGTGCAGGGACTTCTGGGCCTTGGCAGCCTCCTCCTTGGAGCTGTAGCGGACCACGGCATTGCCTTGCGTGAGGTTCAGGTGGAATGTGACCAGGGGCCCGTGCTGCAGGCACAGCGTCCGCAGGGTGGAGCCGTCGATCTGGGGGGGGGGGAAGCACAGGCACCGCCTTCCTGAGCTCTCTACCACAGCACCCCCATCGGCAGGGAACGCTGGTGCATGCGCACTAATCTCCAGTGGCTGTCTGGGGCCAGGCACACACCTAGTGGGGGATCCTTCAGTCCCGTCACCAGTCAGAATCAGGTGGCGGAAGGGCAAAGCTCTGGTTCCTGCTCTGCCCCCCCCTGGCCGGAGCTTGTTCCATGGCGCCCGTGGTTTGCACAGGGCACTGGGCCTGAGGCCTTGCGGACGGCCCCTGGCCTGTGGTAGTGTAAGGGGAACAGCCAAGTCATTTTTTTCTCAAGGTACTGGGGTCTGAAGTTAGGGTCTCATGTTTGGAGACAGGGACGCCGGCCCTTTTGGCTCATTACCGTTTCTTTTTAGCACATGGCACAGCGGGGCTCTTGGAGGCATTTCTCTGCATGCGTACAATGCATTTCATCAGCCTCCTCTGTTACCCCCAACACAACGCCGGTAGTTTCACTCTTTTGTTTTCATACCTGTAGACTGTCAATCAGTATCTCCTCTTTCACTCTCCTTAGCTCAGCCCTTCCCCCAGCAATGTAGCTCTAGTTGTTTTTGAGCTAGGGTCTTGTATTTCATCCAGGCTGGACTATGATTCTATATATGCTTCCTGCTGCATGCAGCAGGACCGAGAGGCACACCCACCATGCTCTCTGTTGCTGCTGAGATGGGGGGCTCTTGTGAACTTTTTGGAACTGGGATCCTTCTACTATCCACATCACCACTCTCAGCTCTTGGTTGAGATGGGGTCTTGCTAACATTCTCCCTGCTGGGTTGGCCCTGAACAGTGATCTTCCCAGTCTCTCCCTCCAAAGAGCCTGGATTACAGGCATAACCACCATTGCCTGGGTTATAGGCATAAAACACCATCACCGGGGTTACAGGCATAAAGCATTATCATCTGATTCCGAAGCTTTTTTTTTTTAAATTCTGGGCCCTTTGAATTTGCTAGGAAGGTGCTCTACTGAACCACACAGATTCTTTGGCAACACTGGAGATTTGAACTCATGGCCTCATGCATTCTACGCTAGTGGAGGCATGCCTCCAGCCCTAGTTTTCACTGGTTATGTTTGAGATTAAGGTCTCACATCCTGCCCAGGCTTGTGCCTGGATCTCAATCTGCCTGGGATGACAGGCGTGTATTGCCCTACCCAGCTTCTTCCTTGATGGAGTCCCATGGGCTTTTTTTTTTTTTTTGCCAGGCTGGACTGGCCATATGATCCTGCACTCTCACCTCCCACGCAACTAGCTGCACTCTCACCTTCCACGTAACTAGGGCTATGGCAGGAGCCACAGGACGCCCAGCTCCATGTCACTCTTGAATGGACAATTATATCGTAGGAAATTCTGTTTACAAAGGTAATTTTTTTCAGCCCCAAAGGGTAAATGAACAACTCAGAACAGGCTAAGTTCATCGGGATGTCTGCTTCTTGCTGCCTGCACTCTATTCTGTAACTCACAAATCCAATGTTTGTGGGCCCTGAACAGAGGCCCCAGGACAGGCATCTGCTCCAGGGGTGGAGCAACACCTTCTGGGCCATGTCTGGTGCCCTGGGGGCGCCGCAGCACCCTTCTCCCGCCGCGCCGGTGCTGTACCTGGGGTGTGAGGTTGCGCAGGACGAGCCAGCTGCTTGTTCTTCCTGAGGTGTCAGTACTCCAAGCAGAACCTGTGTGAAGGCCCAGAGGACAGGAACTCAGTTGACAGGCCCTGTGGGAGCCAGGAGCCATGCTCCTGCTGTCTAACCCCAGCATCGCTGACAGACCCACACCTCACGGTGCCCACAGGCTCTACCACGGCCTGGGGACCCCGCCTCAGCCCAGGACGACCCAGCTGTGCCCTTTGAGGGGTAGGTGCAACGGGACAGGCAAGGGCCACTGGGAAAGTTCTGGTCTCTACTGCAGCCTGTCTCACCCCCATTCAGAATCAAAGGACTACACTTCTGCTTGCTCATGAAACAAGTGTTGTTCTAGAATGTTCTACCTGTAGCTCTGTGAAGCCTTCAGTGCCCTAAGTCCTCAGTGCCTGGCTTTTCTCCCTCATGTTAGCCCACAGGGCTGTGGCAGCACAGCAGCGTTCTCTGCAGGCTGCCGGGCTGAGTTACTTACTGGCCTGGAAAGCCCTGACGCTCCGATAGAATCTTGTGGAGAAGCAAAGACAAGAGAAACAAGGCCCTGCGTTGGCTGAGGGGGGCAGAGTACCGATGCGCGTGGCAGCAATCCCCTGGCCCAGAGCAGAGCCTCTGGGAGCGCACGCCCAGGGCTGACCCCGCCGGCTCTGGCTAGGTCAGCCAAGGCCCTGCCAGTCCAGGGAGCTGCTTACAGGCAGGAGCTGCCGTGTGCTTTCTTGTGGTAGAAGAAGGGGTCAGCTAGTGATAAAATGGAGAGACCCAGCCTAAGATTAGTGGTCTCATCCCTTCCTCACTTTGGGCAATGAACATCTGCCCCGAGGGCCGAGCCTCAGCAGCTTGGAGGGTCCTGTGCCCATGGCAAGACAGGAGGAAGAACTTACCCGAGGAGTAGGAGCTGGTCCAGCCGAGAGGGCTAGCACCCCAGGTGGAGGAAGGCTTGGGATTAGCTAACCCTGGAGGGGGCCTGGTAGGTGCAGTAGTGTTTCTGGGCACCTTCCACAGCTCGTGAGACAGGGAAGCTTGCGTGTGGGAGGCTGGGCCAGAGGACCAGGTTGACTTAATGTCCGACAGCTTACCTAGAAGACAGACAATGGAAAGAACATGTGCATCTGCAGCCTGGGAGGAGGGGCCGCTGGCCCTGGGAGGGGCAGCAGATGCCTCCAACATCACAGACTGGAGGAAAAACACCAGCAAAGTGACCCAAAGGGAGGCCCACAGTGCACTCCGTGTTTTTGTAATTCCTTTTCTTTCCTTTTTTGGGTTTTACAGAGACTGTGTTGCACAGGCTGGCTTCAAAATGCAGGGCTCAGGCAATCCTCCCGAGAAGCTGAGACTAGAGGTGTGTACCACTGTGCCCAGCCACATTCTCTTTAATTTCTGCTCAAAGATGCAGTCTGTACGTCTAGCACAGGCCATGCCATGTCAGTGCTTCTGACGCATCCTCAACCAGGTGAACTTTGTCATAAGAAAACAAGCTTTGAAGTTTAATCTTATTTTTTTTGGCAGCACTGGGGTTTGAACTCAGGGCCCCACATTAACCAGGAAGGCACTCCACCATTTAAGTCACGTCTCCAGCCTTTTTGCTCCAGTTATTCTCTGAGATAGGATCTCTCTTCTGCCAGGGCTGGCCTGGAAGTGCTATCTTTCTTATCTCTGCCTTCCGCATAGCTAGGATGACAGGTATCAGCTATGGAGTTCAGGTACTGGTTGAGATGGGAGTCTAACTAAGGTTTTTGCCCTGGCTGGCCTCAAACTACAATTCTCCCAATCTCAGACTCCCAAGTAACTGGGTGGCTAGCGTACCATCATGCTCTGCTATTGGTTAGGAAGAGTGTCTCACACTTTTCTGCCTAGCTGGCCTCAAACCACAAGCTTTGCCATCTCCCCCTCTTCAATGGGTAGGAGTCTAAGTGTGAACCACTGGCACTTGGTCAAGAAGCTCAATCTTCAGACCAGCTCAGCAGGCAGTACAGATCAGAGCGGTGTCTTTCTACACAAGCACCCTCTCCAGCAGCCACTGTAATTGCCAACGGTTCTAGAGATGCCCCTGCCCACCATACCCCACATGGATGCAGCTGAGTGTACTAACAGGCAGCAGATGCAATGTATTAGGGGGAAAAAAAAACAACCAAAACCCTAATTATAACCATCACCCCATCTATTCTCAGTCCCCTGCAGGACGGAACTGTGGTGGCACAGAGCTTGGCTGGAAAGGAATGCAGCTCAGTGAACGAGCACTGGATTTGGAAAGGGCATCAATGGCTAGAAAGAAAATAATCCGTCTCATTCCTTCTTTAGCACCACACTATAAACAACATCAAAGCTGTCCTGGCGTGACGAGACTTCTTAAGAAGAGAATACTTGGATACAACTTAGGTGTAGCTCAGGGCAGCACACTGGCTTAAAAGCACATGGATGGGAAGAGAAGGCTTCACAGGTGAGCTTCGTGCTTGTGTGTATGCTCACGTCATGTCCTTAAGAGTTTCAGACTCAAATTCCTTTGGACCTTTTTTTTTTTTTGGGTGCCGGGGACCAAACCCAGGGCCCTGCACATACTGGGAAAACCCTGTGCCACTGAGTCCTGTCCTCAGCCTTTGGGTTGAGAATGGGTTTCACTGTGTAAGCCAGACTGGCCTTGAGTCTATCAGTCAGTGAGCTTGTGATCCTCCTGTCTCAGCCTCCTGAGTAAGAGGACATGTGACCCCTATGCTGGGCGTCTCTGGAGTTTCGTTGTTGTGTCAGTCATGGGGTTTGAACTCAGGGCCTGGGCACTGTCCCTGAGCACTTTTGCTCAAGGACAGTGCCACAGCTGGTGGTTACTTTCCTGACCAGGCTGGCTTTGAACTGTGATCCTCAGATCTTAGCCTCCTGAGCAACTAGGATTATAGATAGGTGTGAGCCACTGGTGCCGCTCCTCTGGAGTTTTTGTGACAAGTGTCCCGAGTCTGAAGGACTTGTGTGGTCTGCAGGAGTACAGGTGCATCCGGTACCACACTGACCCGAGGAGTGGAACATGGTACCCCGGGGGTGCTGCCGGTGGGCAAGGGGATCTGCCGGCCTCTGCCCCGACAGCATGCCCAGGTAACAGCAAGTTCCAGGCTAAAGTCTCACAAACTCACTGTCTTCCCGCTAGGTCTGCACATGGCGTGAGGAGATTCACCTCCAGGCTGCAAGGGTCCAGCAGCTGTGCTGGCAAGGCCCCCACTCAGCACCTCACCTCACAGCCTTCCAGCTGACAACAGGGCTCAGGGACTGGCAGGAAAAGCTGGGCCTATCATGATTGCTTGGGGAAAGAAAGAAAACGCTACCTGCACGAGGAGGCCCGACCATACCTGCAGCGCTGGGCGCGGGCGCAATGCTGCTCAACGAGCCGCTGCAGCCGGAGGCACTGAGCGGCCAGGCACTGGAGGAAGGCAGCGCGGCGTTCTGAGAGCATGGTGGGGAGGACCCTGCAGAACCAAACACGGCACTAAGAGAGGGGCAGCAGGCGTGTGGTGAGCAGCTCTTAGAGTGAGGGGCTCGGCACGCCAGCCTCTTCCTGAGCAGCCGCTGCTGGGGAAGCCTGGACAGAGCTGTAGCATGGGGAGGAAGTAGGAGTCCCCCTTGGTCTGAGTCCTGCAGCCCGTTAGAGAGGCCTGCACCAGATCTTCTAGAAATTCCAGCGGGCTGAGGTGGCACAGGGCAGGCACTGGCTAATGCCAAGTTAAGTCACCGGGGGAGAGGATTGCCATTGGCTGGTCTAACACAACTGAAGGACCACGGTGACTTACCTTTCCAAGAAGGATAAAAACGCAAACAAAGGGCGACCTCCCTCATCCTTTCATAGCCACAGGATGTGTCAAGCTTTTCAATATGAGTTTAGCCACAGCACCGAGAGTGCTCTTGCGAGGCAGAGGAGTAGTGTAGGCCTGCCTCCAGGAGCTGGGTGTGGGAGCTCAGGCCTCCAGTCCTGTGCCCCAGCCCTGCCCATGAGGCCTGGCTGGCCCTGGCCTGTCACTCTCTCACACGCCTGAAAGACACTAAGCTGCTGTGGCACATCGGGTGGAGGAGAGGTGACAGTCTGGTCAGAAGCAGGGCACCAGAGCTTCTAACTTGGGGCATGCGCACAGCTGGGCTGTCTAGCTCACTACTACACACACCTTCTGGAGCTCTGGGTGGTGCCTGGCAGGCATGCAGGCAGCGTGGCCTCCTGGCTGCCCATGCCCACAGCACCTCACATCCCCACCCCCAGGGCTAGTCCCTATCAGAACACCACATGGCTTCAATTTAAAAGGCCGCAGGCTTCCCCGACAGCCTCAAGCCTCAGTTGCCTTTCTCTCATTTACCCCACCATACCACAGTCAGTACGCAAGATCCCAGGCCATGCTCCGCTGGCCCTGGGTGGTGTTTCCTTTTGCTTATGTGGTGCTGAGGAATCGAACCCAGGGCCTCAGGCATGCAAGGTAAGCGCTCTACCACTGAGCCACCTTCCCAGCCCCGTTGTTTCCTTGTTAACGATTAATAGCAGGGTGAAATCTTGTTCACAGAAGCAGTTTCCCTTCCAGACCATAACAGACGCTGCACAGCAGCCTCCACCGTGCTCCTCCTCGGCACTTGCTTCTCAGGTTCAATCTGAAGTAGCATCTAGCAAGACTGGGCTGATGGAGACACTTTCTCCCGGGCACGCTACCAATGAGCTATGCACTCAGATTTTCTTTCTTTGCTTTTTTTTATGTGTGTGTGTTGGTTTTTTGTTTTTTTTTTTTGGGTCCAGTCATGGGGCCTGAACTCTGGGCCTGGGAGCTGTCCCTCAGCTCTTCAGCTCAAGGCTAGCACTCTACCACTTGAGCCACAGCGCCACTTCCGGCTTTTTTCTTTTTGCTTATGT